AAACCCACAATGAGATAGCATTTCACACCTGATGCAACAGCTAAAATGAAAAACACAGGTGGTAGTAAGTGTTGGTGAGAATACAGGTAAACTAGAATCCTCATATATCGCTGGTGGGAAAGTAAAATGTTGCAGCCATTTTAAAAAGCAATCCAGGAGGAGATAGCTCAGAGGCATAAGAACCTGCCTGGCAAGCACAAGGTCCTGAGTTTGATTCCTCATTACTCCCCACCCTCACCCCCGTCACCCCCCCAAAAAAAAGAAGCCCTGAAAAGCAGTCTGGTAGTTCCTCACAACGTTCAACATAGAGTTATCATGAGAATAAACAACTCCACTCCTAGGTATAATCTCAAGAAAAGTGTAAACACACATCCACACAAAAAGTTGTAAACAAATGTTCATATTAGTTAGCATTATTCATAATAGCCCCAAAGCAGAAGCAACCTATATGTCTGTTAACTGATGAATAAATAAGCTGTGGTATCATATAATGGACTGCTATTTGATAATAAAAAGGAATAAGGTATTAGGGTTGGGGAGATGACTCAGTGGAATAAGCGCTTCCCTGGCAAGTGCAAACAAAAAACAAAAACAAAAAAAAGCAGTGTCTGTGTTTAAGGGAGAAGGCTCAGTAGAATAAGCGCTTCCTTGGCAAGCGCAAGGGTCTGAGTTCAATCCCCAGTTCTGCAAAAAACAAAACAAAACAAAACAAAAAACAAAAACAAAAAAAAAAGGAGTGCCTGGTAAGCGTAAGGGCCTGAGTTCAATCCCTGGCTCTGCCCAAAACAAAACAAACAAACAAAAACAAAATAAAAAGGAATAAAGTATTGATGCAAGCTAAAACATGGTTTAACCTTGAAATAATGAAAATATTGTGATTGAAACCAGTCACAAAGTCACATAATCAACATAAAGTGTCCCAAATAGGCAATGTACAAAAAGCAGACTGGTGTCTGCCAAAGGCTGGAGGAGGTCCAAGGGAATGGTACTAATGGGTAGGGGGTCACTTTTGTAGGTGATGAAAATCTTTGAAAACTGGTTGTGGTGAGAGTTACACAACTCCAAATGCAGTAAAAAGCCATTGATATTTCAAGTGGGTGAACTGTATGTTCTATGTGAATTATATCTCAAGAAAGCTATTAGAAACCTCATAAAATGTATACATAGAGAACCAATCATTTTTTAAAAACCTTATAAACTAGACACTAAACTGAAAACTTTTGCTGCTCAAAAGGTATCATTTAGGGGCCGGGGAGATGGCTCAGTAGAATAAGTGCTTCCCTGGCAAGCACAAGAGTCTGAGTTCAATCCTCAGTTATGCAAAAAAAAAAAAAAAAGGCATTATTTAGAAAAGAAAAAGCAGGATATAGACTGGAAGAAAATATCTATAAATAGAAAGGGTTCTATCCAAACTATGTAAAGAATTAATAGGAAGAGGATAAATAATCCAGTTAGGTTTTTCTAAAGTAACTCTAAGGAAACACAATAGGAAGAGTGAATCTGGGAGTGAGTCCACCCCGAAGAGCGCCACGACAGATGCTTGATCTGGATGTGGGCAGAGCGCAAGATGACAGGAAACTATGAGTGGATGCTAAGTGGTCACAATAGCTGTCCAAAAGCCGTGAAGCCTTTTGCAATGGCATGTCAGAGGTTATTCACACAAAACAGCAGTTGGAAAGGTGATGAAAAGGGTGGAGGAGAGAGCTGGGCAGTCTAAAGCCTGCCTGGCAAGTGCAAGGACCTGGGTTTAATCCTGGGTCATGCATGCCAGCCACTGAAACCGGACATGGTGGTGCACACCTGTAATCCCAGTGCAAGGGAGGTGGAGACAGGAGGATCACTATGAGTCTAAACTACATAGCGAGACCCTGTATCAAAAAAATAAAAAAATTTTAAAAAGGTGAAGAAAACTGGGTGGGTTGACACAGTTCTATAATTCCAGCACACTCAAGGGGCTGAGGTAAGAGGTCAGCTGTGAGTTCAAGGCCGGACTGAACTACATAGTGAAACCCTGTCTCAAAAAAAAAAAAAAAAAAAAAAAAAAAAAAGGGGGGGGGGGCTGGTAAGATGGCTCAGTGGTCTAAAGCACCTACTTGGAATAAGCTTGGCAAAGCACAGGGACCACAGTTCGATCCCCTAGCACCACATGCCAGCCAGCCCCGCCCCCTCGTGGGCTGAGCTGGCCACACACACACACACACACACAATAAATAAATAAATAAATGTAAAAAAAAAAGTTGAAGAAAATACATGACAGAGAAGGTCTAAGGTATATATGAGTCACATGTTCCTAACTTGTAAACCATTGGAACAATCCACCAGCACCAGACATTCTGCTCTGTGCAACAGGAACCCAACAGTTGACCACCAGACCACCTAAGGCAGTGCAGGTAACACAGATTCTACACACACGTGCACACACACATACATACAAGAAGGATACTCAGGCAATCCTGAGTGTTGCCTCCACCCCTACCCCAGTTCTTTGAGAAGACCCGGAAAATAAGTGGAAAATATTTTAGTCATGAATGCAAACTTCTATTTATTTCTCTTGAAAAAGAAAAAAAAGATAAGGGGAAAACTCAGAAACTAGTGTCACACTCAAGTTCATAGTTGAGATCGAGATAATGAATGGTATGAATAAAAGATAAGGCAGCAGGGGGAAGTGTAGCTCACTACTATAGCTCTTGCCTGGTAGGTGTGAAGCCTTAAGTTCAATTCCCAGTAAGTACTAAAATAAAGATACTTAACACTGTACTGGTCAACATAGCCCAGCTAAAATAATACTAATTTATGAATTTATTTTCCTACAAGATAGAGAAGCTGGGTAAAAAGTAGTAAGATATTATCTATTTCCTCTGTGTATTATGAGTCCCATAAACCCAAGAGAGCTAAGCCTTTCCATTCCTGATGTGACTGCCTGGGATAAGACACAATAGTGGAATTTGATTTGGCTGTGGTGAGCCAAATTTGGAAGAAGTGCTATAAATTTCTGATCCCTGGACACAAGTTGGGCATCTCCCACTAGTACAGGGACCAGCAAGGCAGAACGATATCTTAGAACTGGTACCACCCTTCTGATTCTTTGGGACAGGAAAAATAGTAGCTCATGTAACTGACCCATAGCCCATGAAAAATCAGCAACATATAAGTCATCCATTCATCTACTGAACAAGCATTCATTGAGAAGCTATTCCACAGCAGGCTCTAGGATAAGCATCTGGGATACAGTGATTAATAAACCAATTCAGTTCTTGTGTTAATGGAGTCTTTGAGTGGCAAAGACAGACATTAAACAAATTGCCACATAGCATCTAGGTGATTATAAATGTGACAAATGCTACTCAGTTCCTGTTGACAGTTGTCATTTGGGGATACTGAGATGGTAACAAAGGAGGGTATGGGCCTAGGGCTGACTATGAATGACCTCTGCTCAATTTTTCTTGAACTAAAAGGACCAAAATTGTTGCCCAACTAAAAGGGCAGACCAATGACCAGTGTGAGCTTGCCTATACCACCAAAGGAAAGCAATGCCATGTATGATGCCGATAGAGGTTACTGATGTCTTTAGATACTGAGCCAAGATTTCCCTGGTAGTGAATTCAATTACATGCAATCAAATTAAAAAAAAAAGGGTAAACACACAAGGTAATACACAGATAAAATGAGCAAGGCAGACAGTATCTCACTGTTTCTCTTTCACGTACACCACCCATGGTCAATGTTACATGCTACCAGCACAACCACAACCTATGTTCCCAGTCTCACACCTCCAAAGATACACACACAACACACTCAAATATATGCACACAGGCACCATACCAGGCTGGGTGCTGCTCCACTCCTCACTCTCTGGAGTGCTGGCACTGGGCTGTCCCTCTGGATCCTTTCCTTCTCGCTTCTCCTATAGAAGGAAAACCTGATCCCAGCTTACTGTCCTCAGGGCAAAGGCCTGGTCTCTGATTTGAGCCCCTGCCTGGTAGGAGCTATGTGTGTTCTGTCCCAAACAGGCAGAATTTCTCCTAGGCCACCAGCAGGAACACAGCTCCAGCAGATAGCCTATTAGCATTTGAATTTCCTAGTCCACTTGGGCTATCTCGCTGGCCCAAGCCTATTACTATTTGGATTCATACTCATATGAGCACAGATACTGCAGTTACCCAGCCTGACTACAATTCCCCTTATTCCCGGGGGGGGGGGGGGACGACAAGTGAGCTCAGGGAGCCTGCTCTGTATTGATTGTATCTCTCTCATTGAATCTCTATGATCTGTCTCCTTGTATCTCTGCCCAGGAGATCTGTGCTTCCTGGACTCTAGCTTATCTCCTGAACTGCAGAGATGGGAGTTTTCCACCTCCCATACATCCACTTTGTGTACCAGTTCACATGCATGTGTCTTAACCGTAATACTGGACGAGGATGGGAGCTCCAGAAAATCAAGAGCAATTTATTTATTTCACTCCAATTACATAAACTTGTTATTCTGAGTGTCTTCTCTGGGCCAGGCCCTTGTCTTGGACTGACAGAAGAGTGAGAATTGAGGCACCTGTTCTAGCCTTCCCCTTCCCTCCCCACTGAACTCCTCCTACCAGGGCCTCTGGCTCTGACTCCTCCTCTGATGGGCTCTGGTATTCCCTGTGCTTTCTCTTCTTCATGGGTTTCAGGAGCTCAGAAGCGCTGGTGCAGCCTGAGTTCTCTACTATGACAGACCTGAGGGAAGAGCAGCCTTAGCCATTCGGCCATGCACCACCCAAACTCCTTCCTAAGTCCTGAACAGAGCAAGTAAGTCTGTGACTCCCCCACTTACCGCTCCTGGAACAGCGGAGGGCAGGCATTACTGGAGGAACCAAGATCTGGACCAGCGCTTTGCTGAGGTCCGCAGGCCTGGCACCGACAGGCGCTGTCATTCTCTGAGGGGTCCTGAGAAGGATCTTCGGGAGGGTCCTGAGGGAGGCCCTCTGTGGGGGCCAACTGGGCCTCAGGCCACCCCCTTAGGCGCTGCCTCCACCCTGGTCCCATGTCCACACTGGATAGCTTTCTGCCTCTCACTATGGACCACCCCGTGCCACCACCTTGGCCTCGGGTCACACCCCCGACCAAGGCTCCTTGGATTGCTCAGGCCTCACCCCACCTCAGTGGTGCTTCAGCTTGGAGCCAGGGAGCAGGTTCCTACCGGGCTGTTGGGTGTCCATACGGCCACCTCCCGATGTGGGCCCACCATCTTCGCTCTCGGCCATGCCTTCCTTTTGCCGCTTGGGGCTCCGTGGTTGCTCTATTCCCACCATATTCATTGGTGTGTACTCGCTTATCCGGAACTGGAGCACAAGAGAGTTTGAGGACAGCCATGCTCTGGATGCACCTCAGGAGCAAATACCTTGGCCTCCTCACTGCCGCTGGTTAACCAGCAGACTTCAAGGCTCCGCCCAGCCTCGCCCTGAGCCACGCCCCCAAACCTACAGGCCCAATCCCAGGCTGCCTCTCCCTAAGCCACGCCCCACAAGCCCTCCCAGGTTCTATCATCTCTGTCAGCCTCCCCCTTTCAGTCTCAGACTCCGCCTCTGGCCCTGCCCGCAGACCCCCCCAAAGCTGCCGCTCAAGAGGTCCAGCCAATCCCCACAGGCACTGACCCGAAGGCTACTCCCAGGGGGCGGAGCTGCAGCCTCTGTCCACTCCAGAAGTCTCACGGTACTGGCGCTAGAGCTGGCCACTGGCCCAGCACTTAGCTGTGGCAGCACAGTGGCTGTGACTGGTTCGCTGTTGGCTACCCGTTCCAGGGCGCCCACATGGATTGGCTCTCGAGGAAAGCAGGTCATATCTAGGGCACTGCTGGGCAGGCCAAGGGTTGCTGTGCTGGCTGTGAACGGATGAAGATAGGCATAGCACAGGGTGAGCCTGGTGGCCCTCTGTCCATCGTGCCTGGCATATACAGGAAAGTGAAAGGAGGCAGGTGTAGGAAAGCGAAAGGTGTTACCCTGTCCCTGGATCTATATCTGCTTCGGCCAGTATGGGAATGCCTCTCCTCCCCTGACACCTGGCTTAACTTACCTGGAATGATGAAGGCAGTTGCTGGCAGGTGAGGGCCGGAACCTTGGCTGTCTCTGGCCACCAGGTGCACACTGACCTCCCCTGTGGAAGGTCCCTTCACTGTCCTCAGCATCTCCATTTCAGTATGACTCTCCATCCTGAAAGAACTACAAGCCAAGCAGTCCCATGGTAATAAGGAGGGATTTTTTTTTTTTTCATTAATGGGGATTGAACTAGGCCTTCAAATATATTTAGTAAGCACTCTACCACTGAGTTACAGCTCTAGCCCCTTTAAATTTCTTTTTTCTTTTCTTTTCTTTCTTTCTTTCTTTTTTTTTTTTTTTTAATTTTGAAAGAGGGTTTTATTGAGTTCCTGAAACTGGTCTCAAACTTTTGATTTCCTGCTCAGCCTCCTGAGTAGCTGGGACTGTAGGTGCCACTTTGTCTGGCTAGGAGGGGACCTCTGCTACAAAGTAATGAGATAGAAAGGGAAGGGGGTCCTCACAGAAAGGGAAGCTGGCCATCTTCAAGTCAGCAACTTGCAGAGAAACTTCCACCCTGAGGGCAGTAAGGTATCTTAGGAAGCCAGCCTAGGTCAGGCTCCTTGGGTGGATTGGGGTCTTGGGGTCACTGTGGTGGCTCTGGCTAGGCCCAGCACCTCTCCCACTTTCTGTTAGAGTACTACACAAATTGTGTGCTTAGAACTAACTACAAAGCAAGCCTAAGCCCAAGCTCTGTTTGGCCAGTCTCCTTATGACATAGCTTGGGGCAAGTACAAACTCACTGCTTTCTTGACCCCCACCTCCTGCCCCACTAGAAACACTGCCTTTGGGACAGCCAAATAGCTCAGCAGATTAAAGCGCCTGCAAGCAGGTGCAGGGGCTGGCGGTCTGATCCCCAGGCCTGCTGTGCTGAGAGGTAATTGAGACTGGGCATGGTGGCTCCCGCTTGTAATCCCTGCTCTTGGGAGGCTATAAACAGGTAGATCACTATGAGTCTGATCTAGTAGTGAGACCCTGAACACCCTGTAGAACCTTCCCTGAAATACAAAAATAAAAATAAAATAAAATAATAAATAAAAGAAACACTGCCTTCTTCCTCTGATCCTTCAAGTGCCAGGATCTCCTTCACCCAAACAGGGACCAATTCCCGGGAGGTGGGGTATGCCCTGCTCCTGCTTTTACACATTCAACTGCCACTCCTTCCAACCTTAGCACAGAGTGGGTGTTGAAATATATGTTGAACAAATGCATGTATTGGAGAGCAAAGAGGTAGTTCACAAAAACCCAGTTAGCAAACAATTCTGCTTTAATAAAGCAAGGTTTCAGAGGCATTTAATAAAGAGTTGGTTGAGCATAAAAAAGACCTAGCAGTGCAGCAAATATACTTAATAGCTAGAATTTACTCAACTCTTAAAACATGTTGGCTGCTGTCCCAGATGCCTAACCAGCACTATCCAATAGAATTTTCTGTGATGATGGAAATGTCCTATGTCTGAGCAGTCCACCACAGCATATATTAGCCACATGTGGCTACTAAGCATTTGAAATGTGGTTCATATAACTGAGAAGCTGAATTTTGTTATATTTAACTTTAATTAAATTTAAATAGTAAGAGGAGCTATGATTAATGTATTGAATAGGATAT